CCCCCCCTCCCTAAATATTCGAGATTACATTTTCCCCCAACATGACTGGTGACATACTGCGAAATGGAAAGATAAAAAAACCCAACAACTAAGGAATATCTTGTTTGATGTCTCCCAGGAAAAAAATATATCCCGAGACGCAACTTCCTCCTTAGTTTCTGACCTTTGTGTCTGGCAGACTCTCGTGGGTGTTTCCCTGGTGTCAAGGCGAGGCATATGTCGGCTTTCGTAGCTTGAGGGGTGTTGCTGGCACATGAAGGTCTTGTTTTTATTTACAGACAGATTTTGTCCTATAAGTGCACACTTTATATTTGAGCCTCGCGAGTGAGGAAGATTCTTTGCAATCTGCCCGCTGGTTGCCACCGAAACAAACGCTGTCTTGAATCTTAATACGACGGAGCACGACGAGAGCAGTTCGATAGTCTTACAACTACAAAGCAACGACCATACTTTCATCTACTTTGAAAAGTACACGGCACCTAACTTTTGAAGAGATCCATACTTTCAAAGCGTCAAAAATAACCCTGCAGTGGATTTCTACTAAGAATCCACACGTATGCGACGAATTTGCTACAAGCATAATGTTATTAAGACGAAATTGAAACTACTGTAGCGAAATTGAATAGGACCAACTGACCGAGTGCTATTACATGTTACTTCTGAAGCACAGTTCAAAGAGCTTGCTATTCACATATTCTAATCCAAAGTATTAAAGTTGGAAACTTGGACAGGCATGAAACTATGAATCTTCGTTTAACAGAGGAAGCGTGGGAGAGCAGGAAGTGAGGTCAATAATGTACAGGGTCTGACGACACTAGCCAACCCGACTCTATATTCTTTTAATAGAAACAGATGCCGCAAAAATCGTTTGCCTTCTTTCCAAACAGTAATATTCGGTGTGAGAAACAGAAAAGCCAACCACTCCTAGCCCTGGCTCACCAGACAAACAGGAAATGGTTACACAGGGATCCTGTCCTTTAACTCATAGAAGACGCATATTCTGACAACTCGACAATGATTGAAAATGCTCTGTTTTGGGGCATAACTTCACTATTCAAACAGTTTTTTCGATTTTTGTTCTTTCTCTAAAATTTGAAAAGGCAGGCTGCAACTTGTATACCGTGAAATGTGCGAACTTGAGTTTCTGATTTGTGTATGATTGACTGAAATATCTCGAAACGTTGCTTTTGGTTTGCTGCTGATCGGACATATGTGGCCGCTTCGTTTTCAAAGGGTTAAAATACGTAACAGGACAGGGCTCAAGGCAGCCCAGAATATCACTGTTAATGGAGCGGAAAACGCCAACTGTCAGAATGAGTTAGTTTCAAAGCTACACTCGCGTCCATTCTTTCTAAAGAAATTCCAGTTCTTAATCTGTGTCGTTTTTGTGTTCACTAGCCCTATATGAGAAATATCAAGGCAACCATTCATAGTTTTCTTTGTTCAGACCTCTTTGCAGACTAAATTAGTAAAATATTTCTTCGCACTATTTTTATAGTATCGTTTGAAAGGCAGGGAATACTCTTCAACATTGGTTTCAAATCAGAAACCGTTTCGACAATAATTGTACGATACATACGAGCGTAATATATATATATATATATATATATATACATATAACGTCCCCATTATATTAAAAACTATTTTACCGGTAGGTATTTTTAGACTAATATAATCATTTTTCTTAAATACGTCAAAATAGAATGGAGAACGATAATTTGGAAGCAAAGTGACGAAACATGTTGTCTTTTTCTGTTCTCTTCAACATCCTCCAAAACTTAATATTTCATTATTACCTTTCTTTTATGGTCTACAGTAACACTATATACCATGCTTTACAACATCCTGCTTTCACTTCATGTAGCATAAGTTAAGAGCACTGAAAGTGTCAATAGAAACAATACTGAAAAGCCTTTCTTTTTAGATATCCCCCTAATGCTTGTTCCAGGTTTGGTTGCGTATCGAACGTGCGACCCAGATGGCACATGGCGGGACAACTACACTGACTACCACTTGTGCTTCAACGTCACGCTACCCCGGAACGTGCCCAATGACGTAGTGGATGAGGAACAGCAGCAAGAGGACTTTGTGAGTGTTTTGTCACATTTGTGTGCTTGGGCTTAGTTTAGACCTCATCCTCATAGTGATTTTTTTCTGTGATATGTGTTGGTCGACACAGTTTTTGTTGTTGTTTCTATTTACATCTTTAACCCTTCTATAAGACCTGCAATAAGCGATTTGTTGGCTTTAAGACAAAAGGAAGGCCAAGATAAAAATGGATCGGAGGAGTCAAAGAGACCTTTCAAGGGCACAATATGGCTTTCAAGGGCACAATATGGCAATAGAAAGAGCAACACACCAGGCCTACTCATGACAATTATTGTGTCTCTCCTCGAAACCTCGAGGTAAGAGAGGACAGAAAAAGTACAAATTAATGTAAAGTAACGGATCTATTGACACAATTTATACCATAAATGAACTACTTTGGTCCTGCTATTACGGATAACTCGGCGTGAATAGTGTTTAACATACGAGCTGACTGACGGAGATATTAGATTAATAACCTCGCCACGGGGGAAATGAACGCAAGTCTTCTGTATGCAACCACGAAGAGCCGATACAATGTACCACAGATACCGGTTCAGAAAAACTACTTCGTCTTGAAATGACAAGTCATTTTATGAATCGATCTTTCTGTCTCATTATATTTTACCTGATTGTGTTTTTACGTTTCTCATCTTATCGATATTTACTTGTCTTGGAACGTTTATTTAGCCTACCCCATTTGCTATAACTGACTTGATCCTGATTTGTCTTATTTAAGTAGCTTATCTTGTATCTCTCTTACTACTTATAATGACTCCTGGTGATTCTTCAACATTGATTTCTATTGATCGTGCTTTGAATTCTTTTAGTTGGGCTTTTATGAACTCCCCCCCCCCCCTCCACAGGTAAGTGAGCTCGAGGTTGATATCAACATAGACATAGTAAGAATAGAAATATTGAAACGAATTTCCGTTCTCAGTTGAGCAGAGCAAATTGGATGGGGACGTAAAATCGAGAGTACTTTTAAAATGACTAAAATCATCGTCGTCATACGCAGTTTGGAATCAAATAAACTGAAAACACGCAAGTGCATATATATGGCAGCTTTTACTGAACCACTAAGGTTCGTAAACATATTTTTTTGCCATCTTTGTCAGAAGTGCTCGCTTATTTACAGACTCCTTTAAGTATGTCGTTCCGATAGTCCCTTAGGTCTTTGAAAACCCGCTAAACATCCCGCCAAAACTGTGGTGCTGTGGTTGAGATGTTCCCTGAGACTCAGAGGCCAGGCACTTTCACCTCCTTTCATGTTTTCCGATTTGTCGTATAGAATTTTCCCCCTGTTATTCCCGAGGGCCCGTTTGCTCCAGACGATTCCAGACACGCTTGAAATACAGTACTGTACTCTTACCCTATGTACGCTAAGAAACGAAACGGTGTATTTTTTATATCCTTAAAAAAAAAACAACTTCACATCTTTCAGCAACATTTATTGAAAAACAAGCATGTGTGAATTTGTTTTTAAATTGTAGAACAGTGATCTGGTTTAAGTAAACGCTTTTGTTACTCTCCAACGTTGAATCAAATCGGGATATCGGCCCCCGACTTTTCAAAGATTAATAATATTCGGTTTGTTTCAAGGGTCTTTAATGTCAGCCTCTAATGCAAAACGGTAAATCCTTGGTCAATTAATGCTAATTTTGGTTATAGAGCCACACCCACCTGCATTTCAGTTCAGGTTTTAGGTAAACTAATTATCGGTATGCTCATTTAGATCTGTTACCCCTATTCTCTGCTTAGTGTTTGAGTAAGGAAAAGCACATCCATATGATGACAGGCATTGTATGTCGAGAGAAACGAGGTTGTGGGTGGTTGGCTGATGCTCTGGTGTGGTTTGCTCCCTCTTTCCTGTCAAACATCCGTCCTCGTTATCTCCCCTTCTACATTTTCGTGTTTGTTACTCTCTTGTAACAGCTCTCGTCTTCAGAACATATATTATGACCCACTTATGTTGCTAGTGCTGTTAAACTATTATTAAAACAAAAACAGAAGCAAGGTTTACAGACCGATAGGGGGAAAAAAAGGGGGGGGGGTTGTTTGTGCGTGGAGAGAAGTCGGTTTAAGAGTGGTGCCTTCCAGAAAAATATACTAGGACGGGTAATCTTCTCTTCGTTGTTAGCCCAAAAAAGAAAGACAGCCACGACATGTTGGAAAACTGGCATCAGCCAAGTTAGCCTTACATGCATTATTGTGAAGAACAACGTGAGTTATTACGTTTGACGAGAGATAAGCGAACACTCATTATATTGCCTCCTTCACCTTGCAAAGATTACCCTTCAGGGCACCATACACGGAGGGAGAAAGAAAGGCAGACAGAAAAAGAAATGGGAAGACAACATAACGGAATGGACAGGTTTTAAATTGAGTGAAGCCCTTCAAAAGGCTGAATGTAGAGAAGGATGGAAAAATGTGGTTGCCCGATCATCCTTTTGCCCCAACGGTTATGTAAGGGATAAGTAAGTAAGTAAGTAACCCTGGTATTGGGTATAGCCCGCCAAGAGGACCTCCATTTGTCTCTACTCTGGACGATCTTCTCCACCTCTAGCAACTGTGTCCCACATGACTGAGAGCTACCTGTAGATTTCGCTCCCAGGTTGATCTCAGCGTACCTCTCTTTCTCTTCCCGCGGGGGTTCCTTCAAAGATCTTGTCTTGTCATGTTGTGGGCTGGCTTCCTGAATGTGTGTCCAAACACGTGCTATCTTCTATTTTAATATCTCACAGTCAACTAGTTGTTGTTGTTTGTTCGTTGTGATTTGGTTCACCAAAGTTAAGATATATCCACTTATAAAACAACATTAAATAAAACAGCAAATTGTTATCTGTAACATTTACATGAATCTTGGCGGACTAAAACACTTCGCATCTAAATGATAGCAAAATTAAACCCACCTAGGTACATGAATAGAGTAATTTGAAATTGACCAATGTGGTAACAGAAACATGAGTTTCAATGCTCTCTCAGACTTTTATTTTGGTCTTCGGAAACAACAGTCGTTTGAAATTTCGGGGCAAAAGGATAATTCCATTTTAAAGCGAAACATTTTCACTTTGCTGAATAAATTTTCGAAAAAGGACAGTGTATTATTGAAATGTTGGAGAACTAATGGCGTCATTCAATTTCATAATGCTGTTTGTGCTAAAACGATTACTTTTTAGTTCCTTAGGCCTCCGCACAAATTCTTATTTTGCAAATTGCCTTTTCATATTGAACTGGTGTGAAAGAAAATTTCTCTCCTTCAAAAAAATAAAAAAAATAAAGTTACAAACTTACTTTTACTTTTTTACTTTTTCATCCTCTGTTGCCGTTAAGCGTCGAGGGGAGATGCAGTTTTCTATGTAGGCCAGCTCCGCAGCTCTTTCAGTTGTGATGTTATGTTTTCTTAGGGTTTCCTTGACACCCTCGATCCACCTTTTGCGTGGCCTTTCTCTTCCTTTATAGCCTGAGTGCTTGGTGTTGTAGGCTCTCAAGGCTGGCTGGTCAGGTGACATGCGTAACAGGTGGCCAAACCATTTTATCCTCTGTCTTTCTATGTAACGCAGGCAAGATTCAGTGCCGATAGCTGCTCTTACTTCTTCATTTCTCTGCTTGTCTCGTCTTGTGATGTTATGGGTTTTGCGGAGACATTTCATTTCGCATGCGGTGATTTTGCTTTCATTGGTTTTGCTTAAGGTCCAGGTTTGGCACTGATAACATAATGTTGATATGAATATTGAGGTGATAAGCTGTCTCTTTGTGTCCATGGAGATGTTTGGATGAGATAGAAGGGGTGCGAGCTGGTAGGTGACAGCGTTGGCTTTTTGAGTTCACATTTCTATTTCTCTGTCTATGGACCCGTTTTCAGAAAAAGTGCTGCCAAGGTATGTAAACTCTTTCACCAGTTTCACTTGTTTACTATTGGCATAGATGTTCAGGGGACTATGGTTTCGGATCACTTTCATAACTTCTGTTTTTGATGTGCTTATTTTCATGTTGAATTTCTCACAGGTGTTGTTGAGTTCGGTAGTGTGATTTTGGATGCTTTGTTGGTCATGATGAATTAGACATTGGTCGTCTGCGAACAGAAATTCATTTAGGATTTCTGGGCTTTGGTTTGCTTCTTGCGTCATTGTGTCCATATATATTATAAACAGGAGGGGAGATAGAACGCATCCCTGTCGTACTCCAGATCTTACTTTGAACCAGTCTGTATTTCCTTCTTTCGTTCTTACTGAGTTTCTGGTGTTGGTATATAGAGCTCTGACATTATCTACAAAACCCCCAAAAACAAACATACAAACTTAACAGCAACAAAGAATAAATACCTAAAAGCGACTAAAGAAGGTCAAACTTGTAATGACATGTCATTCTTCCATACATAACTAAACTCTATAGGTTTTCCAGTCCTTAATATAAGAGATAGGTTTCTACCAGACGTATTGTATGTCCGCCCAAAATAATTCACTTTAGCTATATGATACTTACAGCATGTTTTATGATTTTGAAATAAATTTTAGGTATTTGAAAATCGAAGGGTCTCTCGTCACATATCCCTACTAGTGTTATCAGTATGCTTCTCTTAGCAGCTGTCACATCTTTTATATTGCGCCCCGTCAAAATAAAAATAAAAATATATTCAGCAAGTGCAAAGCACAATAATATCATATTTTAGCAAAGTTATCCATGTAGCTAGTGGGTATCTTACATGATGGATGTATCGCTCATAATACACATTCCACGCGGAGATATGACGACGAATATCATGACAAAAAAGTTTTAACTATTATTAAGCGTCAGCATTTAGTGACTATTAGTTTCCGTGTTAAGGATATGACTATCTCCACACATCTCATACAAATTATAACAGTTAAAGGATCAAGGCGGTGTACTGTGTAGTTGTTGTTGATGTTGTTGTTGTTGTTTTATTGTTGTTGGGTTTTTTTTACACTTGATCGGAAACTAAGGTAACGAAGCTGAAAGTGCGAATTAAGGTCTGCCCTTCC